TAAATTTCAAATTACAAATCTAAGTATAATCAATAGCTCTTTCTTTCTCTTTTTTTGTCAAAAAAAAACGAATTTTTTTTTTTTTTATTTTATTGTTTTTAATATCGAAATTGTTTGTTTGTTTGTTTTTTTTTAACATTCAAATATTATTTGTTTTTTGCTTTGCTTTTTTTCCTTTTAACTTTCTTCTTTTTTTTTTTTTAAATTTAAAAAAAATTTTTTTTTTCTTTTTAAACTTTTCTTTTATAAGAAATTTAGCTAATTTTCCTACTTAATATAATTTCCTATTTAATTTGAGTAATGAATTAATTTTATTAATAAAATTTTCTAAATGATAATTTTAATTCTTTGTTTATGCAAATGTTTGAAAATTATTTGAAGTATTTGAATAACAATATCATTCGTAGTATTTCATTCTTAAAATCATTTATTCTTGTGTGGCATACCTGTACGACGATTTTGTTTTATTTTCATTTTTTAAGAAAAAAAAATTTTTTTTTATTGCTTCCAAAAATTCTTAATAAATATTTAACAAAAAAGAACAAAAAAAAAAAAAAAAAAATTAATAAAATAATTATTAAAATAATTTAAAAAAATATATGTAAAGTAAAAGTTTTGTAACTAAAATTTGTTAATAATTAATTTACATTCATTTCATTCTTTCATTTTATGCTAATTTTTTCTTTTATTTCTTTCAAAAAAGTCCAATCAGTTAATTAAAAAAAAAAAAAAAATTATTTAATTATATTAAAATAAGATGAAATCATTCAAATTATTTTTCAATATTTCGAATTAAATTGAAATATTTCATTGCTATCTTTTTCCATTAATTTTTTTTTTTTTTTTTAATGAAATTATAAATTTTCACCTGCATATTTGTCATTTGTGTCGCTGCAAACAGACACACACACACATACATGCATACATGCATACATACATACAAACACATGCATACATTCATATGCGCGCACATGCAAACACCCATAAAAATACATAGACATGCATTTACACAGACATATATCCATGCACATACACTCACATACATGCATTCCACACATATGTATTATCATCGATACGACTTGTTAGTGAATCTTGTGCCTTTGAATTTTTAGATGTTTAGGAATGAATGAATGATTGACTGAGTGAATGAATGATTGACTGAGTGAATGAATGATTGACTGAGTGAATGAATGACTGACTGAGTGAGTGAATGAATGACTGACTGAGTGAATGAATGACTGACTGAGTGAATGAATGATTGACTGAGTGAATGAATGACTGACTGAGTGAATGAATGACTGACTGAGTGAATGAATGACTGACTGAGTGAATGAATGACTGACTGAGTGAGTGAATGAATGACTGACTGAGTGAATGAATGACTGACTGAGTGAATGAATGACTGACTGAGTGAATGAATGATTGACTGAGTGGATGAATGACTGACTGACTGACTGAGTGAATGAATGACTGACTGAGTGAATGAATGATTGACTGAGTGGATGAATGACTGACTGACTGACTGACTGAGTGAATGAATGACTGACTGAGTGAATGAATGATTGACTGAGTGGATGAATGACTGACTGACTGACTGAGTGAATGAATGACTGACTGAGTGATTGACTGAGTTTATTCATTCTTAAGTCTAATATTCATATCTTTTCATTCACTCTTTTAATTTCATCAAATTCATGCACATCTGTTCCTCTTCATTTCCTTATTTTTTCCATTTTTTACAAATGGCAATTTATTTTCATTCTTTCTTTCTTTCTTTCTCTCTCTCTCTCTCTTCCTCCCTCCCTTTTCTCCTTTGTGATAAATATTTTTGAAAAAATTTTTCATAGTAATTTCTTCTTAATTACAATCTCATTTATCTAATTGGTTTATGCTTACATCGTATTTCATTTGCTTTCTCTGTTTTCTTTTATTATTATTATTATTTTTTTTTTCAATTTATTTATTTCTATAATAAATAAATAAATAACGAAAGAAAGAACGAAAACACTTTTTTTTGATGTAATTTTGCTAGAAAATTTTAATAATATTTTTATTTTTTATTTCTTATTATTATTATTATCTTTTCAATAATATAAACAACAAATATTCAAATTTTTCAGTTAATTAATTTTAAATTTAAAAATTATATTATGAAAATATGAATGCAAATATTTGCAATAAATTTTTCTTTTTTTCTTAGTATCTATAATAATTTGCTTGCAATAATTATCCATAATACTTCTTTCTATTGTTTATACTTTTTTTTTTTTTGTTTATATATATTTATTTATTTACATTTTCATATATATATATATATATATGTTTATTTTTTTTTGTTTATATATATATTTATTTGTTTTATATATATTTATTATCAATATTTACAATTTGGTGAATTTTGTAGAGTATATGAATTAAAAAAAGAGGAAAAAAAAAATTGTTAAATAGTTAAATGTAAAAATAATAGAAGAGAGAAAAGTTTTTATTAATAAATGTTTGTTTCATTTGAAAATATTAAAATGAATGTTTTTTTTTTCTTTCTTTTTTTTTTTTTTTTTTTGTTTATTTTATTTAACTTTTAACAGGAAAAAAATATGTGCAAAGTTATTTGATATTATCAGTTCCATCTTCTCATCATATCATTTTTACAAATGTTTTTTTCTTTTTTTTTTCATCTTTCTTTTTGAATAAATAAATAAGTAAACTAAATAATGTAAAATTATGAAAACTATTACTTTGAGATTAAAATTACTAAAATAAATAAATAAATAAGGTAGGTATTCAAGTGAATTAGACAGTATGAATTTTAGTATAAGTATACAGTCTTTTTTCTTTTTTTTTTTTTTTTCAGTAGATTGTTATTCATTTCAATTTTGCTTACTCATTTTAGTTTACAATTAATTTTTTAATTTGATTTATTTATTTGTTATGAATGAAATGCTTTTGTTATCAATCAACTGATAAAACTAAGAATATACATATATATATATGAAGTAAATTTTTATCATAGAATTATAATTCACTTGATAATATCATAAATTAAAAAAAAAAAAACGAAAATTTTTTTTTTTTTTTTTTTTTTTTTTTCGTTTTTAATTGTTTAAAAATAGATGAAAAGAAAATATTATTCACAATTTTTTTTTCTTAATTTTAATTTTTTTTACTGCATAACAAAAAAAATTTGATAATGAATAATTTGTTAAAATTTCTAAATCAAACAAAAAAAGAAAATTATTGATATTTGCTAACTATCCAACTATTTTAATGTTTGCTTTGCTCCTGTTTGATCCTCGAAATGAACATAATAGTAGCTTTTGAAATTTTGAAGGTCATTAAAAACTCTCTTTGCATTCATTTCCTCTTCACACAAATTTTTTTATACGCAAATTATCTCTCTTCATTCATTCTCTTTTCTTTTTTATAAAATCATTTCTCTCTCTCTCTCTCTCTTTTTTTGTCCCTAAATTGTCCATTTGTTTGCTAAAGTATATTGATCCATATGTTCCTATCTACTTTGTCAATTATTTGTCTTTAGTTAAAGTTAATTTTAAAAAAAAATTATAATTATGTTTTTTTTTTCTAAAAAAAAAAAGGACAATTCCTTTTCAAACTATTTATGTATATTTTTAAAATAATTTTCTCTCATTTCAAGGCCAATGAAATATTCATATTAAAATTGTTGTTAGAGTAAATAACCAACATTATAAGCTTTATTTAAGAGATTAAATATAGTATATCAATTAATTAGTACCACATCATTAGGAAATAATAATAGAATAATTAAGAGATATGGAAATATCGTTTAACTAATATCGTTGGTATTGCAAAATTTTTACAATTAAACAAATATTAATTTTATAATTTATGAAATAATCAAATTGACTATTCACTTAAAAGCTTAAGTAGTGTTCAACATAATTCATTAAGTGCTCTTAGCTAATTCTTTTTGTTATAAACAAAACAATAAGTTATTTGTAATCAAAAAAAAAAAAAAACAAATGTAATTATTACTTATTTTCTTTATCATTTTTCTTTCCCATAAATATGATTGTATATTGTTTCATTTAGTGAACAATTTCTGTTTATAATTAAAAAATTTGTGTTTGTAATTAATTTTCTTTTCTTTTTCATGAAATTTGGAAAATTTACTATGAATTAGTTATTATTTCACTTTTTTTTTTGAAAAATAAAATTTGAGAAGTTCAAAAAGAAATTTATTTAGGATGATAATTGTGATAATGATAAGTAATAAATTTTTTATTCAATTTACTAAAGTTAAATGATTGTTAACGTGATAGTGTATGAATAAATGATAAGTGTAAGTCATACTTACGTGAAGTGCGAATAATGGACAGAAATGAAGTGGAAGATACGTGAAAAGTGATTGCTAGTTGATATAAAATGTAGCTTACTTGAAGTAAACTACGTGAAATATAACTACTGCTCGAGGACATAAAGCGCAATTTACGTGAAATATGATTAGTGGTGGACATAAAATGTAAATTACGTGAAATATGATTAGTGACGGACATAAAATGTAAATTACGTGAAATATGATTAGTGACGGACATAAAATGTAAATTACGTGAAATATGATTAGTGACGGACATAAAATGTAAATTACGTGAAATATGATTAGTGACGGACATAAAATGTAAATTACGTGAAATATGATTAGTGACGGACATAAAATGTAAATTACGTGAAATATGAGTACTAGTTAACATAAAATGTAATCTGTATGAAATGTTAATATTAGTGGACATGAAATATAAAACGTAAATATTGACGTCAACATAGAAACACGACGTGCATAACGTATGAGTGACTTTATTGAGCTTTTTTTAGCTATAGCTATGCCATTATCGTTGCATGCAACGATAAAGCTTTTTCTGTTTTCTCATTCGTACAGTGTTCGTTTTTTTATTTCTTGACTGCATTACGTGTATTGCGTGCACTGCATGTGTTGCGTGTGGTGCATGCATAATATATATGTACTGCATGTAATGCATGCTTGATGACAGTTTGCATGCATATGCATATGCATGCAAACTGTCATACTTGCACTAAAAGACAAAAAAGCGCATTTGATGCACTATGCAATAGCAATAGTGTTTAGCTGCACTATTATCGATTGATGAGGGATGGATGCATTTTGGAATGAATTTAGTTGATGTGATGTTGTTTACTGTTGTCATTGTTGTTTGGGTTGTTTGGTTGTTCGGTTCATTGGTTCATTCGTTTTTTTGTTTGGTTGTTTGGTTAATTAGTTGACTGAGTTTTTTTTTTGATTGGTTGGTTGTTTGGTTGACTGATTGTTTGGTTGACTGGTTGTTTGGTGACTGGTTGTTTAGTTGTCTGGTTGACTGGTTGGTTGGTTGGTTGGTTGATTATATTTCTATATTGCTATCATTGTTATTATCTTTACTCTTATTTATTATTATTATTATTACTGTTGCTGCTGTTGTTGTTATTATTGTTTCTATATTGATTTATTTTTTATTTCATTTATTTTCTCTAATAATCATACTTAGTTATAGCTTTCCTTTATTTTCTTATCTTTTTTTTTTCTTTTTACTATAAATCTTTATTTTCGCAGTATTTATTCTTAAAAAAAAAAAAACGAAGAAAACTTTTTTTCTCTCATTATTTCATATCTTTTTTTTTTTTTGTTTGCATATGTAGAGAGTTTATTTTATGACATATTTATCCGCCGCCTTCTCAGTAAATAATGCTAAATTTACTATGTGGGTTATAAATACATAACCCATGCAAATGGATAACTTTTTTTTATTTTATTTGAAATGAAAATTTTGGATGTATTTGCATATGCACTAATACTAAGTTTCGAAATTTTAAATTAACTATGATGTGAAACATTTTTTTTTAGAAAGTTTTAATTTCCTTTCTTTTTTTAAGGAAAAAAAGCAGAAAATTTTAGAAACTTTTGTTAATTTAAAAATGAGATTTCTCAGTAAAAAGGAAGAAAGAAAAAAAAAGAGAAAAATATGTGAATTTTATATGATTATATGCAATCTTTTTTTTTTTTTTTTTTTGTAAATTCTAATATATAATATTGAAATATAATAATAATTATTTCATTAATAGCTAAAATGCATTCATTATTTATGAGCGTATCAAATAGTTCGTCACATCTCGTCTTATCTTGTCACAGTCTAGATTCATCTGATCGCCATCTTGTCGCAGTCTAGATTCATCTGATCGCCATCTTGTCGCAGTCTAGATTCATCTGATCGTCATCTTGTCACAGTCTAGATTCATCTGATCGTCATCTTGTCGCAGTCTAGATTCATCTGATCGTCATCTTGTCACAGTCTAGATTCATCTGATCGCCATCTTGTCGCAGTCTAGATTCATCTGATCGTCATCTTGTCACAGTCTAGATTCATCTGATCGTCATCTTGTCACAGTCTAGATTCATCTGATCGCCATCTTGTCACAGTCTAGATTCATCTGATCGTCATCTTGTCGCAGTCTAGATTCATCTGATCGTCATCTTGTCACAGTCTAGATTCATCTTTTATTTATATTCTTCTGAAAAGGCATTTTATTGCTTTTTATGTGCTGTTAATCCGATATTGAATGATTTAATATTATTATTATTCTACAAGTACCATTCAATATTTCTTCTTTTTTTTTTTTTTTTACAATATGCACTGATGTAGAAACAACGAATCGAACGTTCTCTCTCTTTTTTCCTTCCTCCTTTGCATGATATTTTGTGGTGTGTCAACGGCGCGCACCTTTGATGCATTTTCATTTAGAATTTATTTTCCTTTCTTTTTGTTTTCTTTTCTACTCGAAATTGTTTTAATCCTACTTTTTGTGTTTTTTATTTTTTGTTCTCACAAAACAAAAGTATATAAAAAGATGATTTGTTAGTAAAGATAGGATTAATAACTATTTATTATACACTTTTTTCTTTCAAACATATTTTGCATATTTTTAACTCATATTTATTTGCATATTTATTTTTTTCTCTTTTTTTTTTGCTAAAATTAGACATTCATCACCAGTTTATTTAATGAATATATCAATTATGAGATTGCTTTTTCATTTTTCTTAAGATAGATCTTTTTTTTTTTTTTTATGGAGTCATTTTGAATTATTTTATTGGAAAATAAATTGATAAGTTCTTTTTGTTTTGTTTATCTTTTTTTTTTTTTATAAAAGTTATATTGTTATTTGATGCATAGCATATGGCTAGAAATGACTGTTTCAAATCTCTATTTTTAGGCTGTTTGTTTTCTTTCAAATATTTGTTATTCTTTTTTTGAAAATCGTTTTTTTTTTTTCTCTCAAAATATAGTTTTTCTTTTTTCGCATTCTTTTCGAGAGATAAATGCTTCATTTAATATAGAAAGTGATGTATTAAGGATTAGCTAGTCATGTTGATGCCATTCGTAATTATAAAAGTGTTGTGTAAACTTTATCTCGAATTTGTAAGAGTATATTTCCGATATTTTAAGTGATTTACTAATCTTTTCTAGTATCATGTATCGCTTTCTTTTTGATCTTTTTTTTTTCTGCTTTTTCTCTAATTGAAAAATTTGTTTTTTCAATGTATTTTGATTAAAAATAAGTTAAGCAAACAGTTTTCTTTTTTTCCTATACTTCATTTTTTTTTTTTTTTTTTTTTTGCAGAGCTAATGGGTAAGAAAATATCAGAAGGTGAGCTTTGTGATATTCAACAAGCGATGGGTCAACAACCCGCAACAGTGCAATTTCTCGATTCCACTAGTCATATTTTTTATGTTTCGGTTAGTCATTCATTAAATCATGTAAAATTAATTTAAAATAGAGAGTTTTATCTATTTAAGCGAATTTTAAGACTGCACAAATCTTTTAATCTAAAAATTTAAGCAATTTCAGAGCATTAATAGCAGTATGTTTAATAAATCATTTCTTCTTCCTCATTTTTTCTTATCCATTCTTGCTTTTATTTTTCTAAATTACAATTTGATGTACTGTTATTGCTCTTTTTCCTTCTTGCTAAATTCAGTTGCACTTTTTGTTATTTCATTCTTTTTCTCGAAAGACCGATTTTTTTAAGTGATATATCAGTTCCACTTTTCGCAGATGAATCATTTTTGTTTCCTTTGAATGTTCTTTTTTTTTAAACTTTTTCGCTTGTTTACATTTATTTGTGATTCATCAAAAAGAGCATCAAATTATATAAGATCGTAAGCTTTTTTTTATTATGTTTCTTTTTTTTTTTAAAGTACCAAAATGTCAAATTTAAAGTCAAATTATAAACTGATACTGAGTTCTTAATATGTTGCATTTTCAATGCAGAGTGCAGAATTTTAGATTATACTAAAGTTGCTTCGGAATCAAATATAGCATAAAATGATTTTACTCGGATCAGTTTTGTTTTTTTAGAAAAAAGCTGAAGGTGGTGAGTTGTTTGATAAAGTATGCGCATTTCTCGATCTCACTGAAAAAGATTACTTTGGATTATGTTTCGCCGATGGTGATGGCAATCAAGTAAGATCATAAATGACTTCCTGAAATTAGTATGACATGTTTTTCTGATTTATTTTTCATCAATATCACTGTCGAAAGTTATATTTTAAATAAAAATACTCTTGAACAAGGTTATCCATGAATTGAATTTATTCTTTTTTGTTTTTTTAATTTTCCTACTATTACTATTATTGTAGGTGAGAAAAGTTAGTAAGATTAGATTAATTCGTTTTTTATTTTTTAGTTTTAATATAAGTTATAGTGCTACATCTCTTTTCACAAATCATTCAGTCAGCATGTGATCCATTTTTCGTTCTTGTAATTATCTTTATGCACCAAGCGGTGATAATTTCTATATGGATTTTAATTGATTATCTGAATGCTCTCTCTCTCTATATATGTATATATATTCATTGAAATCTCATTTTCAAAATTCATATATGAATTATAAGTTTTACAAGCTTTTCACATCTAATGTATTCATTTTTTCAGCAGTGGATCTATGATGATAAACGGATTTCAAAGCAGTTAAAAGGTATTACACGTTTAACTGATTTCAGTAAATAAGCAATTTCATGATTGATTTGATTAATAAGTTAAGAAGGAATTTCTTTGTAGCTTATAAATTTTCAAAAGTTGTTGCAGCTTATCTTCAAAGTACCCCCATAACAGCAACTAATCCTTTAGTGAACGAATTTACATCGAAGGTCATATTGTACGTTAGAATAACTTTTAGTATGGAAGGAATTTTACTTTAGAAGTATTTCTACTATCACAAAAAAACAAGATTCAGTAAACTATTACCATGCCAAAAAACAGCAAAGTGATGCTGTATTTTAAAAGTTTGACACAGTCTCGGATAAAACTTTATTATTTACTAAATTATCATGAAAAAAATTTTTTTAATCATATATTATTGATAAGTTGAAGTATGTTAATGCTTATATGGTTAGAATTTAAAACTCGGAATGTAAAATACTTAAAGTTCGTTCTTCAACACCCGATTAGTCATGGAAAAAGTTAAATTCAGCATGGGTAGTATTGATGTCCTTCTCTTTTCTTTCCTTTATTATTGTATTAATGTAGGAATGTTTTTTATCTTATTCATTACTCTTACCAATAAAGATGAAGCATAAGTTTCACATGAAATCAAATGCTTTGCTTTAAATTGTCATTTATTAAATTTATGATTTTTGAAAGATATGACTATGATCTTCAAATCTTATTTAGGTCATCCATGGGACTTTCATTTTAAAGTGAAATTTTATCCACCTGAACCAGCAACATTGGCGGAAGACAAGACGCGTCATCTTTTAACCTTACAAGTTCGCCATGATATTTCCACTGGCAGGTTAGTATTATATCAACTTCCCTTGTACAATTCAATTTTTTGTTGGATTTAAAAGTTTTTCCAAATTCTAACTTTTGCAGACTTCCAGCTACCCTTGCTACACATGCTTTACTGGGTTCATATGTCGCTCAGTCTGTGCGAGGTGATTATGAGCCATCCTTGCAATATATCGATTTCCTCAGAAATTGCCATTTAGCTCCTATACCGAATGAAATATTGTACGAAAAAGTTGAAGAACTG